CCAATTTGGCGGCGTCCGCACGCGTCATCAGGTCCCCTGGCCGGGTCAGGTTGTTTAAAGGCAAGGAGTGCACAAACAAGGCCGGAAACCAGGAGGAGGTCGCTTAAACAATGATGCAATAGCTTCAGCATGCGACAGGCGGTCGACCCTGCCTGGCAGGGATCGGGCCACGTCTGCCGCCGCGATGGAGGCCCTGGGCAAGCCCGGGCTTTGGCAGCCACCGAAATTGAGACGGGCAAAGGCAAAAAACAAGTGGACAAATTGCTCAGAATGCCCGTGAGCCTTGACGCAAAGTGGAAGGAGCCTGCAAAAAGCGTCGCCAGCAAAACATGATGTAGATCATTTACTGGCCGGCAACGCTGGGGTCCTTGTCATATTGCCAACCCCCACCCAGGAATTTCGGCGATGCTGAGCCGTCTGGGTGCCCGGGCTCGCGTGCCTGCCCGCCAAATATGCTCGAATCAACGTGAAGCTTCTTGCCAGCATGATGCATGATGTCTAGCGACTTGACCTGTGGATTGTACGGATTGAACACAAACATCTTGCGAATTTATTGCGGTGTACTGTATTCTAGTAATAGTAAAGAGCAAGCAATTACTTGCTCTTTTTCTTTGAAGTCTTGCCTTGCGCGCGCCTGCTCTCGCGTCTCGTAGCCTCGCTCGGCCGAGGCCACCTGCGCCGCCTGGGCCGCCGCCAGGATCTCGTCGTTGAGACCTCGGCGCAACGTGTCGCCGCTCGGTACATGCGAGGCCCATCTGTGCCATGTCTTTGGCCATGTCTTTGGCCATGGTAGAGCAGGGCAGCCCAACACATGGGTGATACCGTTCACCGGGAATACCAAACCCACTCTGCAAAGCAAAACTATATATAGGCATCTGTTTGCCAGTGCCAGCCCGCTTTTTGAATCTGAGCCTAGTGGAAGCTCCTGGGAGCTGTTGCCCCACCTGACAGAAATCCCAGGAGAGTAGCTTTGAGGGATGTCTCAAAGTTGGACGCCCAGGAGTGGGGCCGGGCCAACAAACGCCTTTCACACCCGTCTTGCAGGCTTTTCTCTGTCCTAGAAACCTGCTGATAAGCATGAGGATCAAAAACAGTAGCCAGGGTCTTGCACTCAGGCTGCAGCCAGCACCGTTCGCTTCCGCGTCGTGGGCGGCATCTGTCGCGATCTGAAGAATCGCCTGCTCGAGGCAAAAGGCGGCACTGCAACCTTGGGGGCTTGGTGAAGAACTCTTATTGGCTGCGGCACCTGGCAAGCCAAGTCTGATTGTCGGCAGCTCGAGCAATCCTTTCGTCCAGCCGTGTAGCCTTTTTTCAGGCCTGGGTCAACGCCTTGGCCTCCCACCATGTTTTCGGAGCTCGGAGGGCTCCCATGACCCTCCCCGCCTTGAAGTCTAGACGTGAATCCACCACGTCCTGAACGGCGTAGTGAAGTATTCAATCGCCGTAGGGGTCCCCACCAGTGGAAATCACGAGGGCCCTGCTTTTGGCCTATACCCTCCCTCCCATGGCACCTGACAGGGGTCACTTCAAAAGAAAATTGATCTTCCAAGCAACTCCCCACAGGTGCCATGTTAGTTGGAGGGTGGGTATGTTTTCAAACCTTTTGACAACCAAGGGGAAAGGGAATCTATAGGAAATTTGGCATCTGTGTGGATGCACACACCCCTCTAGATTGACTGATTGATTGATTGATTGATTGATTGATTGATTGATTGATTGATTGATTGATTGATTGATTGATTGATTGATTATTTGACTGACGGACTGACGGACTGACGGACTGACGGACTGCCTGCCTGCCTGCCTGATTGATTGCTTGCTTGGTTGGTTGACTGATTGATCGATCGATCGATTGAGAGACGGAGCACAGTGCTCCTTGCTTCCCAAGCCGGTCCTTGGTGAAACTCTCCTCCCACCAATCCAGCGCCTGAGTTGGCACCCCCACTGGCAACAAAACATGAATCTGAGCGGGTTTGAGGCCACAATCCACAAGTAGCACCCCTTGCTATCCCCAACCGCCCTGGAACCCCAAACCCTCCCGGAAAGCTGCTGCGAACCACTCCAAAGCCCATCCGGGCAGAGAGCACGCGCTCTGGGCTCTGCCGGCGAGGGTTGGAGGGGGCTTGCGTCTGCCCAAACTGGTCTCGTCCAAGCCACCGCAGCTTCCCCGACAGCCTGCCACTCCGCCTGCACACCGACCAGTGAATTTGTAGCGCATGAGACCAAACATCAATTTCCACCCAACGTCCTAGCCAGGCAACACACTCAAACTGAGACAATGGTACCTGACAAGGAAATGAGCCTGGATGTCCTCGGGATGGTCGTAGAGCTCCGCAACTTTGTGCAGAGCTGTGCCCACCGCAGTGTACGTCTCCTGTTTCACAAGGGACTAAATGCAAGGGCCCATCGTGCATATTGAATTGGAAAGGGCAGCCAAACCAAAATGGTATGGGCACATGGGCACACCAGGGGCCCTTTTGGTTACACAGCATCTTGCAGGAACGTGGTTGACCCCTTGGACAGGCGCAAGCGAGCAAAGATCCAAAATCAGTTTCTTAAACACGACTCAAACTCGACCGGCGTCTGGGCACAAACTGACAGGAAAGGTTTGAGCATGCTGAACGCCAACCCTCCTGCAAAAACCAAAGGACTGTCCAAACGTTGAGGCCCTCCGTGGCTGATGATTGAACCTATATACCAACCATTCTCTAGAGAATCTGCTTAAATTTGAGAGGCTCAATCCAATCACGGCACCCAGGAGGGGGCACATATCCAGACACAAAAATACAAATACTTGCACATACCATGTGGCAGCACATGCACAGTTGCATTTACATATGGATGCAAATGCAAAACACACAGCTGGATTTAAGCCTTTGTGCATGCCTGAATGTAATGCCAGTAACACCCTGGCCCCAAGTTTGCCCAAGCTTGTTTTTATCCGTGCCTTCTTGGTGCCGCCGGCTTCCGCCACCACTAAGGCCCCCTCTTGCGCGGCGATGATCAGCTGCCTAAGTAAGCGCCAGGGTCTGGGAGATGCGGAAACCAAGAGTCCCGCCCCCTGGGTTCGCCGACCGTTTTCTGAGAAGCTTTCTGGGATTCGAAAGGAAGCCTAAACATGTGAAACCCTTGTTTAATGCCCCTATTTTCCCAACAGCAAGATCTTCAAACACCCACCAATTCCCAACAAAAGACGAAGGCCTGTCCACCAGTAGGGCTTCATTTGGCGAATTCACAGCGCCAGAGCAAGGGCTTGAAACATGCTTCCTTGGAAAGGCCGCACATAGATAAGCCACGGCGAGCGTTTCTTTCAGTGTCTTGGTTCTGGCTCTGTTGACAGGGACCCTCATCATAAGACAAACACTGATTTTTGTTTGCTCAACACGATGCTTTGCGAACACCCCAGCCAGAGATCCAGAAATGCAGGTAGTCAGCAAGTAACGACACCGCAGGCTCTGAAGCAAGATTTGCCTCAGAATGGGTGGGGATCCCTAATCCGAATCCGTCATCCGTAGTGGGATGAGACGACGGCAAGAGCAACATCTACCATCAATACTACCATTTGGCAGTCGGATGTTGCGGCTTGATTTAGGGTCTGTGCCACAACAGGGAGGAGGGGGGAAACAAAACGGTGTGTTTTTTGGCATTGGCCTCCCTGTAAGCAAAGCTGTAGGAAACCCAACTCCAAATCCACCCCATGGCCAACCAAGGTGGCCAAGGAGCTGCTCCTGGGTGAGACCGTTGCCCTTCACCGTGTCCGCGGCGTCCAAGGCCATGCGCACCGCGTAGTCGCAGCGGTCCTGGACCTCGGCGCGGGGGGCGGGGGGGGGAGTGCATGCTCTGTCTTTTCCCTCCGAGTGGCGAAGCAAGGCAAGAAAGCAGCCAGATAAAACACCCCCGCTCCCTGACACGCACCGCTGCTCCGGCATTGCGGCAGTGTGGGGCCAATCTCAACTTTAAAAGGGGGGCCCTAAGCCCACCAACCAACACAACTTATTTGAAGTCAGTTTCATTGAAGGGGTTTTCTCGAGGGTGAGAATGAAGACAGTTGAACCTTTGAATGTTTTTTGAGGTGGCAACCTGGAAGAAGCCAGCCGGCTTTGTGCCCCGATGCGTACAATGCCTTGGGGCCAAACTAGTCAAATTGGGCATGCTGTGTGCCGGGGACAGTGTGGCGACACAGGCCACCAAGCTGCCGAGGCCCCCCATCAAGGTGGACTGCCCCATCTCTCCCCTCCGGCCAAGTGGCGGTCTCCTCCCTCGCGAGGGAGAAGTCCCCGGCGACGGAGCCCGCTGCGTACATGGCCTGGCATCTCGACGCTGGCGAACGCCCGGAGGGTGCAGAGGCATCGCCATTGGAGGCATCTCTCCCGTCCATCGGAGATTCACTACTGCCAGGTGCCTATCAGTCCATCTTGGCACGTTCAAGAACGATGACCCCCGGCCACGCCTGCTGCGCCTGATAGGGCAGTGTGTGGTTCACCGCTGCAAACTCTGCAGCCGACAAGGAGGCCGCAGCAAGCTGCGGAGTCACACCTTGGAAAGAAACTTGAAGCCACCTTTGGGCATTTGGGTATGTCAAAATTTGCGGACCGCCAAAATGCATGCAATTTCCTGTAGGCACCCCTTTCAACCAGCCACACACTGCCCACAAGAGCAACAGTCACGGGAAGAGAAACTTGCGGGGCTATTGATGACCACACAGCACAGAGTGCCGCAGAAATTGCCCACAAATGCCCAGCCGTAAAAGTTGTTGTCTATGACCCATGGCATGATGCATAAAGCCCCCTTTCCCAGCACCTAGAGCAAATCTTTGGCCATTTCAGGATGCCCGTGCTCTGGCTGTGGGAAGGCCAGCCGTAAGTGGTGGAACCCAACTACTTGGTCGAAAGAAGAACATCCTCTCAATGACTCAGGCAAGCCGTTGGATGCCCTGATCCCTTTCATCGGCCGTCCGCGGTCGCACCGGAATTAGTTCGAGCTTTCGCGAAAGTCAGCCAGTCACTTGTAGGAAGCGACTAAGGAGAAGCGGCCGCTTGGGCAACACCATGACTAAAAGTCAGTTGAGACTCTGTTGCCATCTCCCGCCGCTTTCACTGCTGCGATCATGCCGACGACCCCCGCAGTGACTTGCGCCTGGCAATGGCATGCTTAAACGCATGCCCCGAGCCAAGAAGCAAGCAAACAGGAATCTCAGGAAAATGTACTGCACTGTTTCTGCCAGGCATGCTGGAAAATCCATGGCGCCTTCTGCGTGTTGGACAAGCCCAGCTTCACCTGGAAGCCAAACAAGGTTTTCTATGTCCACGCGCTGGGCATACTGTCGCAGGCAGGTGGGTGTCCGAGTTGACAAGGGTAGAATGCCAAGCTTGCTAGCTGCCCGTTAAAGCGCAACCACAACCAGTATGACATTGATGCACCCCCCACACCCTTCGCCCCATTTCCTCAATGTCCGTCTCGGAGTCTCCAAACCAATCCAAACATATCTGGTTTTCCCTTGGAGTGGCTCAATTTTCGGGCATCCCCTCTGATTTGTAAACCCGCGATCCCCATTTTGCCCCCTGTCAAACAGGAGGCCCCCTACTACAAGAACTGCATGTTTGACCATGCATGGAGCCGCATAGGCTCCCACAAGAAACGGGAAACAAACAACTGTGGAGGGGTGAGCTTGCTCACCCATCCTGAAAAATAACAAACAATAAAACAATCAGGCAATCAAACAAACAAACACACCAAACGGATTGTCGGCTTGTCGCCGTCTTTCCATCCCCATCTGCAGGCTGAGACTGTGGCGCCATTCTGCTGCACCGCCTGCACCCCTGCGATCTTGATCTGCTGCAGGTTCATAGCCTCTGCCTCCCCCGTTTGCAAAGCGACCCACGTCTGACTCAGGATGCTTTCGCTGGACGAATGGGGGGGTTGCTTTGAAGTCCCATCCCATCAGAAGCGGCCATTTGCGGGCAGTCACCTTGGACTTCGAGCTCAGGAAGTTGGCGCTTGCCTTGAGACGTGGTTCTTACCACTAACCTCCTCTTTTGCCAACATCGACAGGGGGTCTACATGCGAATGATGTGTAGTATGCCTCGCACTCCTCAAGCAAATATCACCAAAGCCGACAATCTTGAAGCTGTTTGACACCAGCCATCAGCATCAGAACTGGCTTGCAGTGCTACTTCTCCACCACATGCGTTTGCAGCGCGAAGCATGGACTGACCCAAGAACTTTCCTGAAATTGGATCTTTCAAAACGAACACCTGGCTTTCGAAGGGCTGACAAACCCTTCACCGCGCGTCATGCGTGTCCCTGCCTGCGCGCCCTTGGCCGCAGACCAGCCCGCGTGCTTCACCATCTTCAGAGCTTCGGACAAGGAGGTGGCTGAGCACCTCACAAGGCCGTAGGACGCTCGGACATGGATCTAGCCTCCCCGGTCGACTGCTGCATGTCTTTGTGAAAGGACATGCCCGCATCTCGTCATGCTTCATGAGCCAATGTGGCCAAGACCTTCCATCTCATCGTGCTTGTTCAACAGGTGGGCGTGGCCAACATGTCTGGTATGGGACTGGGCATGTGAGCCAGCGGCCTCAATAGTTCCTGCGCAAAGGCTGGTTTTCAGCTGCAGTGAGCCCCAAAAGGGGCACCCAGTAACCGCGTCACAAAATTTGACAGTGGAACCACTTGAGCCGCTCTATCATTTTCCCGGTTGCGTGGTTTGTTAGGATTGTCTGCAGCCTCAGCTTTAAGAGTCATAAATGATCAGTGCAGGAGTAGTTCGCGAAGCGCGCTTCACGACTTGGTTTGAAAGTCAAACATATGCTGCGCGAAACTAGTAGGGGCTGTCATGCTAACTACCGTAGCAGTTGCAACAGCGGCAGCATTAGAAGACCTTGCAGCAACACTAGAAAATACTAGAATATACCACAAGTAGCTGTAGCAACAGCAGCAGGCAATTGCAGAATAGAAAGTTGCAGTAGTGGTGGTGGTGGTACTGGTAGTCGCCGCAGTAGTGGTAGTAGTCGTCGTCGTTGTCGTCGTCGTAGCAGTGGCGGAGGTGGCAGCATGTGGTAGCGGTGCGGTGGGCACGAGCAGCTGTGGTACTAGTAGCGGTGGTGTGCATCCGCAGCAGCAGTGTTGGCGGTAGTTGTAGTAGTAGGAGTGGCGAAAGAGTTGCCCCTTCATCGACCGTTCGTGGACGGATTGCGCTATTCACCGGGATGTCGAAGCTGTTGCAATCGCTGCAATTGCCCCTGCCCCAATTCTTGTACTGCCGGCCATGCTGAAAGGAGTGAAAGGGCCATACCCTGCCCTCAATGCGCAGCGTGACGACACGCCGAATACATATACATAAACATATATATATATATTATACATATTGTGCATCTACAAAGTTCTCAATGGCTCGGTCATGCCAGCATCATGCCATACTCAGCCCCCTGCGTTTTCCAAGGAACACCGAACATCCAGCAACTTGCACGAAACTTTGCCAAGTCGGTCCCTTCTAAACCCCAAGCATCGCTGTCATTTGTTCGATAGGTTGCCCAAAATAGACGCACAAGGCAAACAAGGGATAAGCGGCCACAATTGAAATTCCTCAATTGTCGGTATGACGGCGTCCCTTCACGTCAAACATTTCGAGCGCCGCGGTGGCTGAGGGCAATGCGTCTTGGGGCCGCTGATGGCTGTTGTCTTCACCATCTCAATGGCTTGGTTGCCTGGCCAAGATCGCAAACTGCGAAAGCATTGCGCAGTCTTGCGCAGTCCGACCCCTACCCGCAAAGTATGGCCGAGTGCGTGAAGAACCCAGCTGGATGAGTAGCACGCACCTATGGGCATGGCCTGCCAAACCTTAAGGCCTCCGACCGATGCGCTGAAATCTCCTCATGCGGAGTCAGTGGCCTTGGAGGAAGCACTTTTTCGTGTCCTCGTAATAGGTGAAGACCTCACAAATGGGTCAGGCAGTGGATTCTGAGACGTGGGAGACCTTATCAATACTAGTGTCCCATCAAGAGAGGTTTAGGCCTATTTTGTGGCCATCACGTTCCTAGAAATAGCCATGGAGCTCAGTGTGAAACTGGCAAAACCCACGACTTGTGAGTCAAATCCAATGGACATCAGCTTGGATTTGGGGAAATCGCACCCCAGGGTCCTGGCTGCGACCAGGCTAAGGTGCGTACGTCACAGAACCACATGTGATCGCAGGTTTCCTGGCCAGGCAGCCGACTGCTCAAAATGTTTGCTAAACAGCGCATTGACTTTAAGAAGCAAACGATTTGTCGTTTTCCTGAGGGAATCCAGCGAAGCCACCTATGGCTCCCAGGCTCAGGCCTGGCAGGTCTCTGCATTGGCCACAAAGCCGCCGTTGAGGTCCTTGTGCCAAGAGTCCTCATAGCCCCAACCTGCTGAAAAGGCACGCCACGCCTTCAAAGCCCAGTTTAGCATGACAAGCCTTTGGATCAAGCTGTGGCAGAAGCAGAGGGCTCCGTCGGTTGACTTGGGGTCCCTTTTCCATCCAAGATAAAGTGGGCGCACGGCTTGGGCAATTCCATGATAGACATGGCATGACATGGCATGACATGGCTCTTGCACGTAGCCTATGAACATCAAGTTCTGCGTCCGGCGCCTCGCCGGAAGCAGCTGAGCTTGGGGGACTCCAGCTCAGCCTCCACATCATCGCTGGCAGCGGCCAGCACAAGCAGGAAGCCGAGAGTCGCCATGGCGCAAAGCGGACGAAGGGCCAGGAACTTGAGACGGCCAACTGTGCGTTGGCTCTTCAATTGCAGCAGGCAAGCAAGCCTGAGTTGGATGGCACAGTGCTACCTGCAGACCAACGGCAAAAAGCCTCGTGGCGAACATGGCAGGATCATGTTTCTGCGACATGGCTCCGCTTCTCGTCCGTGCCTCATGGCAACCGCATCCTTTTGAAGGTGCTGCAAGACGAAATGGGCCCAATATTGCCCAGGGTCCACTTTAGGTGGGCTTGTCTGAGCTTATGGATGGGCTTGGGGTGCGGGATGGCCAGGCTTGGGGTGGATATGGGATTCGTGTATGATAATTTAGGGTGGTGGGTGCCTGCTTTCTTGCCGGGTGACAGTGGGAACCTACAGCAATCCAGTGGGAAAAATCATGAAATATGTGTGTATCCATTGCACAACAAACAACGTGGCCAGTGCATGGCAAGGGCCTGGGCCCAGTCAACTGGCCCCATGTCAGCTGTCGGACTTTGGGCGGCATCACCGCTGCACCCGCGCCAAGGCACCAGGGTAGGCACCTGGAAGCAACGAAGCCTTCCACGGTAAACCACTTTGATCTGACACCGCCCTCAGAAACCAGAAGGCAGCTGCTTCTCGAAAGATGGCTGAGAATGAAATAAGTGACCCTCAGGCTGCAGGGTAAGCTATAATTGGAGCCGCAATCACTTAAGTTGGCCCAAGGGAGCTGCGAACCCTCCGTTGCAGCCGACACCTGGCGGCGCTTCAGTGGCCATCATCAGCCCTGGTGCCACCTGCGAGCGACAAATGGATGGGCTGCACGTGGGCTTGCCTCAAAGGGGCCCGAGTCCCTGAAAAAGGGTAGTTATCCGTTTTCCTTGAACACTTACAGGATAAAAAGGGGTTTGTTTAGTTCAACATGGATTCAAGGCTAAAGCAGCCCCCCCTGCAGCGAAGGACACGCCCGTCAATATGGAGCAAATGTCTGGGACTTCCCTTTACAACATCCTTGAGGCTGAATTTTATTGAATTTTGCTGCACTGGGAGCCAGGCATAGGGACCCTTTCTTGCACGGTTCTTCTAAGGGTGTCGAAAGGAACCCGCACCCCATGCACTTCGCACCCCATCTCTGGCCAATGCCCGGGCCCTATGTTTCCTGCCTCCACTGCGAGTGCAGCACCAGGTTTCGCGCCAGGCGGCACCTGCTAGCACGTTGCACAGTCAACTAACACCACCAAATACGGATCGACTTTCTCTCCAGCCAACATTCCCCCCTCCCCCCTAACCCAGCCAACAACCCTCGCGCCCCTACCCAAATATCTGTCCACTCATCCGGCAAGCCTTTTACTTGAAAACTTCGTCGTGGATTGCAAAGCTTGAATCAAGAGATCCCCCATTGAGGCACCTTCATTTGTGAGCTCACGCTCTTCATGCAAAGCCAACGCCAAAGAATCGTGGCGCCTTTTTCTCTCCAAGGTCATGGTGGGAGGCGGGAAGCTGGGCAGGGCCCTTTCGACAGATATCCTTGTTGCAAAGGCAATTGCCCTGCCTCAAAGATTACCTGCTTGGGCTGTCCAGGCAGCCAGGACCGCGACCACTCCTGTGCGCGTAAGAGACAAGTGGCTCTCCGTCCCAAAACAGGTGGCCTCAAGGTGATGCTCCCCTGCTAACATTCAACCCGGCGAAACATTACTATTGTTCTTGGAGCCTTTTGAGGCACCCCCTTCTTCGCGCTCCGTGTTGCGGGTCGGCAGGGCCATCTCTGCACGAGCTATAGGGACGCATCTCCGGCTCCTCGTAGGAGATCTCTTTGGGCCGTGAGCTTGTCAAATCTGGCAGGAGATGAAAAATAACAAACCTCTAGGGGTACCTTCCCCATTCTTTCCAGGGATCCTTCTTTTCAGGGAACAATCAAAAACCAAGGGAAACAGCTGGCTTTTGAAAAGAACGATGGTTGAAAAGAATGGGGAATCAACCCCTAGAAAACCACAAAGCGGAAGTACAAGTGCGAAAGCTGCAGAAAAACAACTCACATATTCTGCCGTGATCGCTGACTGCAGGACGACCGTCTAGCCATTCTCGTTGTACCAAGGTCAGCCCACAATCTAAAACTACAATTTTACATGAAAACAAATAAACACCGTGCTCGCCGGGCCACAGGCAACCTTGACTCTGTGCATGCTCGTGCCGCCATGACAACTGGTGAATAGACAGTCGTGGAACTAACCAGCCCTCCTTGAAAGGTCTGGTGCCACATGTGCGTCAGTCGAAACGTCTAGGCAAAGGACATGCAGCCGCTGGGGGCCTATCACCTTCCCATGTTTCAAGCGTCCAGCCCTGAACAGGTGAAAGGTGTAAATTGCTCAATCTCAGCTAGAAGGTTGAACAAACGACTCCCACCTGGAGGGTCTGGGACCATGATGCAACTCATGATAAGTGTGCACTGACACTTGTCAAAAGGCCAGTAGGTCCAAGAGGTGCTGGGCTGGACCCCAACTCCTGTAGGTCCAAATTCGGCGCATGTGGTGCACATCGGCTTTCCCTTCTGGGCCCCAGCCTGGGCGACTGGCCAGGCTGCCAGAAGGCAAATCCAGCGATCGGCTGGCACCTCAAGGAGCAACGTCCAGGTGGATGTTGAACATTGAAGCAAACCGCCACTGAAGCGATCTTCCAAAGGTGGATGGAAAATGTTGACCCGGATGGGGTTGATTAATAGGGGTGGCGTTCCATTGTAAAGGGAATCCTTCGCGTTTGGCCGGTTACTCAGCTTCCCAATGCACCAATCCTTCACGACCTATGTCGTCTTGCATCCCCCCCCGTCCGCTCTCGATGAAGGGGCCCGGCCAGCGCCGGGCAGCGTCCCGAAGGACCGCGTCTCCAAACGGTACACCGCCCGGTCCTGATGTGCTGAGTTGGCCGGACCCAACAAATCAGACCAAGCTTCAGCCTTTCGTCTTTGTTAGAAGTCAAAAGGAATCAAGGAACGTATCAGGGTGAAATTATTCCCCATCGTTCCCCCTCCAAGAATCGCAAGCACCCAAATCCAAGTCTCCACGGCGGAGCCCGGCAGCACCCCGTCTGGCAGCGGGGGCGGAGCCTGAAACATATGACTCCCTCTCCTTGAAGGTGCCACAAGAGATAACACCAGGGTCAGGGTACCAAAGTGGTCCGCCGCGTGTGGCGTTACTAATAGCCATCATCTGAATTTGGTTTGTGCAAAAGAAATGCTTCCCATGTTGGGGCTGGCATAAAACTTTCCTCTTCTATTCTCCCAGGCTTGTGTGAGGCTTTAAACGGTAGATGGCACCGCTGTCTTCGATATTGTTTGAGTGAAGCAGAGCTTAGGAGAACCAGCCAAACAATGCCCAACGCCCTCTTTTGATACTCCTCGTGATGTGTGCAGCCTTATCTTCCTTACACAATTGCGCCATCCGTCAGTCGATGCACCCCCAGCATGCCTCCGCTGTCACCAGCGGCATCTTTTCATCCTCAGCCTGTGAGAAGCCCCCGCCACCAGCTTTGTCACAAGGTTGTGTGAAACCTACTGCTGCCCCCGGCGAACATCTGCCGACTCCGAAGACGCTTGGCGCTTGAAAGGTTCAGTTTTCAGGTTTCACATGGGTCGGCCCAACTTGAGCCCTCCAAAGCAGCAACATGCCCGATGCCAGCACCTCGGGGTCCAGGAGCCTCTTCTTGGGCCTGTCGGATGGGATGTGATTGGCTTGGGGAGCCTACTTCTTCCTTCTAACCAGCGAGGTGACATGCTTCAAAAGCTCCTCTTGCTGTCATCGTGTATCTGTGCATCTGCGTCTGAACGTTGACTTGGCAAAGGGGCCCCTGTTTACACAGGTCTGAGCTCCAACCGGTCCCTTCTATATATCTCAAACGTACCTTGGCACATTCCTAGGAGGGGGTGGTCCGGCCCATTGGTACAACTGCGTAACCACCCGTTGGCCTCTTGCTCTTCAGCGCAAGGAAGAGGCCAGCACAAGCAGATCCTACGAGGAAGAGCGTGGCCATGCCGATTCCAACGCCCACCTGAGGCGTTGCCGTCAGCAACTCCACGGGTAGGGGTAGCACCCCACTACAATAAAAGCAACCACTATCAATGAGGGCAACCACTACCATCTCGCAGAAGAATTAAGGATTGGCATGGAACGAGCCAGAATGAACACGGACAAAAGGGAGGCCTCTGACAATCAGCGCCAACTCTTGATGCATGACGGCTTGCTGAAACCGGGTTTGCCCCAAGACCTGGACCCTTCAGTTTGCAACCTGCAAGGCCATGTTCGCGAGAAGACTTCATAATTCGACCGAAGTCCCTCTATAATGGGTTCTGGTGCATTTGCTGACTACTATCTGCCACCGAAGCAGCCAGCAAGGAGCTCTGATTGCCGGGGTGAGCGCTCAAGACAGCTGCCGCATCTGCCTGCCATGAGGCGTTGGTCAGCAGGAATCCTTCGGCTACTTGCCACAAACGTTTTGCGGCACTTTTTCGGGTCCTGTCAAATGGGAGTGAGGTGAATGTTCCCTTTTCAGGTTGGTTTAAAGGGCAACCCTACAAATGACTGTAACAGTGTCACTCGCAAATGTGCGGCTGGATGACATGAGAGCTACCAGCAACAAAGCATCTCACCGAGAGGTCCTGGCAGGCCTTGGCCTGCTTTTCACTGCAAGACCATGAGTTCTGCCCTCTGGATTCACAAACACTAGGCTAGGTGTGCACGCTATGGGGCGCGGCACCAACCTGGCAAGCGATAGGGATGCCCCCTTTAGGCTGGTATGGGAGCATGTCAGAGCTGGGGACCCTTCGTAAAGTCACGGCACAAGACTTAACAAACAAACTTACATGACGCTAGCCTTTTGGAGGGCTCATACTGTCGACAACTTCCCATTTTTGAGGTTGCGCTTTGCAGGTTGGCATCAAGGGGAGCTAAAATTAAAACCGCCATCGTTATTTTCTTTGCTGGGGACAGACCCAAACACAACACCCGTCTCAGTCTCAGGAATTGAGGCGCCTCCACCGTCTGCATCTGCGCCTCCTCTAGCTGCGGAGGGCCCAGCGCCAGGCCGGCGGTGGCCTCGCGCACCAAGGACGTCACCTCCGGCGCGGGGGGCGGTTCCCCCCTTTTTTTGCGCGGGAGGGGGGGGGGAACTCTTTTCACCCACCGTTTAGAGGACATGTTCAAGATGGGTGGCCCAGTTCAATGCGCACCATGGAACTCCTGGGTTGGCCGTTCCTTCTGTGCATGGGAGCACGAGAGCGATGTGTTGCAAGCTGCGCGGGTTGAGCATGCTTGGCCAAGGGACTTACAAAGCTGATTTGATGGACCTGGGTAGCCCACTATATAATACAAAGCAACTGCGGCCACAACAAAAGACTGGCATGTTTGACGTGGTAAGTCCAGTAAACCATGGCAAACCCAGTCGCCATGGCATAGCCCGGATAATATGATAGCTCGGTCTATTCGAAACTATGAGCCTCAACTCAACAGGGTTGTGTCTTGCGCCCTCGCGTTTTGCAGCACGTGTCACTGTCATAGTAGTGGTACATCCGTACATGTTCGATTGAACCATGGGCCCCGCAGCCACTGCCAAGCTCCGCCGGGCCGACCTTTTTTCACTCAGTTGTGACACTGCAGCATCCTCGCCCCGCCAAGGCGCTGCTGTCCTACTTTCTCCCCCTGAACTGACGCATGGTTCTGTGAGCATCGCCCCACCCCTAGGATCAAATGATCAAAGTCTAGGATCTGCAGCAACCCTGCTAGAGAAGACTTGGTGAAAGGGCACCCCAAGAAGTTGCCTGTTGAGCCTGAGTATGCAAAGCGGTAGCGCATGTCACAGACCATGCATTCAAAGCCCCTGTTTGGCAAAGCCATTGGAGACCGGGGACAGTGAATCTTGTTTGGTGAATTATTCTAGTCCCTGGCGACACTCGAGAGCAGCCGCATCACACGCAATGAAAGCAAGCAACGGCAAACGCAACACCACGGTCCTCACGGGATGCTTGCCCACAGTTGCGGGCTCCCTGTGTTCCACCGTCACCAGGACAGCGAAAAAACTCGAGTTGGTGCTTGGCACCCCCTAAAAAGGATCCTAAAAGCTGGGCTGTGGCACCCAAAACCCCAAGCCCAGGCCCCCCAAGAGCTCAGTTCTGCCCAGCTCTACACCACCCACGTGCGACCGCTCTTCTTTGGCGCAGCCGAAGCCTCTGGTGCCAGCTCTGTGCTCTTGGCGCACAGCGCCAGCACCTGCCCAGGTTCGGCAACGCCGCGTCATGCATTTTACACCTGCAAGTGGTATGGCGTCCCACCCGCCCGGGAGGGGCACAACCCTCCTGCAAGCCTGAGGGAAAGGCCCGCGCCTCCTTGATGTCGACGCCTCCCCTCACTGCCTGGGCCAGCTGAAGTGCCGCCGATGCCCGCAGCACATCATGCGCGCGCTGCTGGGCAGACTTGGCGGCAGCGGCCTGCCACCTGGGCGTTGAAGCGCGAAGCAAGGAGAAGGCCGGACGCCGGGGCAGGTTACCCCAGGACATGGTGACGCCGTCCCCAATGAAGCTCGTCTCTTAAAGGCTACACATCGCCAAAGGCGGTTCCAGTTTTGAAGTTCTTGCAAAAGGAAGTCCCGTAATCCTCAAAGTATCGACCCAACATTCTTGGCAGGTGTTGAAGTTGGTCCGTGCTCAACAGGGGAGCCTTTTCACATAGCCTGGGGTTCTGGGTGTCACTCGGTGTCCTTTCGACGCCCCCGCCTGCCGTACCACGCCTCCGCCAGCTCCGCTGCGGAGTCCGGCTTCGAAGCCTGCCGTTCCGGACGAGGCGCGGAGCCGGCGTCCGGCAAAGGCACCTTCATGGGCGTCAGGTCGTCGTCGCTGGACGAGCGCTTGGCCTGCCGAAAGAAACATGAGCAAAAGGCAGAGCTTCATCACCCAAGCTCACCACAGCAAATGTAAAAGAAAGCTGAACGGGTAATTGGACGCGCGCAACACCCCGAATTGCATGACTTGCAAAAGAGTTTCAGAAAGCTTGAAATATATTGGCTGTGGACATGTAAGCCGATGTGAGCCTTCTCTGGCGTCTGGAAATCTGTGGTCGTGTTGGAAATGTCGGCCAGGACCCGCGACAAGCCAGGAGGCGGTGTCACCGGATGCTGGGGCACCTTCGTTGGGGTGGACGATGCCGACGTGGACGCTGACGTCTCCTCCGAAATGTTCTCCACCTGAGCTCAAATCCCTCGGCCAGGGATTTCCTTTCTTTGCGTGCCGAGCCCGCGCCTGGAAGTTCCGGAGCTCCTGCCATCCGTGGGCGTGACGGCAGCGGTCGCCCTTCTTGCATCGACCCCGGGCGAAGAAGTTGCACAGCTGGGTCTTGTAGACGCTGGGGCTCACCCTGAGCTCCTCCTCGCTGTGGGCGAACTTGCAGTCCTCCTGAAGGCACAGGCCGCGCGCAAAGGCCCTGCAGGGTGAAGCATTGCGCGAGGCCACCACAATTTGCCAGCTATAGAACATCCTTTTGCACTGTTGGGCAAAATAAATAGTTGGGGACACGCTTCAGAACCGAACATGATTTGCGTTCCCCGCCTTGCTAGTTATCCCCGCTATCCCCGCTCAATTGGCGCTCTTCCGCAGGCACACTTGCCGCCACAAAGCAAGAGCAAAAAAAAAGATCGTTGCCATGTCAACAGTACAAAGCAACATTCAATGCTGGGGGATGGGGCGCCTGGGGCTAACCCACGGAGATTGGCTTTTCAGGGGCTTGTCCCAGGTTTGCGGTGGCCCGAAGAAAAAGTGATGCCTGGTTTTCTGGGTGTCTTATAGGTGCGGTTTTAGCCTAGGGAAGCAAAACGGGACAACGTAGTACACGATGTACCCAAAGCACCCAGTGTCACACTCGTGGGAGATGTGGCTGGGACCAGGAAGTCGGACGTGACAAGGAAGTTGATGTGAATTGTGAAAGAAAACAAGAATGCAGGAAAGTTAAACTCACAACCAAGCTGTCAAGAGACGGCAAGGTGACGTCCCGTGGGACGCTATGCACCGAACCCTCCAGCTGTAATACCAACCACGTGGAAAGGTGTATACGGACGATGCCGTTATAGCCGAACCCGTGTAAACGTTGTAAGGGGGAAGGAATGATAGTTACAACAGTGGTCCTGACAAATGCAGCGCAAGCGAAGTGTTTTCCGCTCTCAATGCCGATCACGTATGAATGCAGCTACACATCAGATCTTGAACCTCAATTGTGTCTTGAGCCAAATGGCGATCAATGGAACTTGGTAAGCAACACCAACACAGACCTCAGAACAGCTTCCCAATTTAGGCACGGGGCCTAGAGGGTTTTAACATCCCCCATTTGGGTCGCATTGTTCATCATGCGGTCCAAACACCACAAAACGTTCCACTGGCCACGGCTTCAGCTACGAAATCGTGTCGTGCATTCTTTTACTTGCTATCGCTACACCGTTCATTCGTTGTGAAACATGCCGGGTTCGATTGTATGAAAAATGAAACATTCATCCACCAATCGAAGCGCACTCCCATATGCAGGTGTATACAATACACAATTGTCACGTCATTTGACCACCAGTGAACATCCCAGCTGCCGCATTTGCGCATCGCGCAGCCGTCATCCATAGAAAATTGGGTTGGCCATAAGAGTCCACCAGAGGCGCCTGCTCGTAAGCAATCTGCATATCTCCGGCAAAGAAATATCGGTGAGCAATCAATGCAAATCATAGCCATTCCAGATACCATGAACAATAAATATATATATAATGAAAAGGAAATCATCCATGAGGTAATAATTCCATCCATGAATATCCAGAATGTCATAGTCGTCGGAATATGTAACCATATACACATCCATTCAACTTGGACGCATGAAATCATATCATGATGTAAAGTCGTTCCATCGCAATAGTGTCGATGAGACGCAAGCAACGGATGGGGACTAACCCACATCGTGCCGCAATCATCATCTTCACTGCGCATACCTGTCCCCAATGGACAGTCTGTGAGTGCGCCGACGGAACTCCTCGTCCAAGTTCTTCTGGGCTTCTCGTGCCCGGACACACTTCTTGCTGTAATCCTCTGGTAGCCAGTGCCCTTTCCGAAGGCACCAATCCAGCAGAGGTGTGTCACACTTGTTCGGGTCGACGGCCGAGATGATGGCGCTCACGTTGACCGCGTAACCATATTTGCCAAGGTTCAGGCCATCCCTCACGAATGATCTATACTTACAGTTGAAAGCCAGTGCAAAGCATCTGAAAATAATATCACCTACCGGGTGCACTCGGTCCTTGACCAGGAGCTTCATTTCGTCCTTGGTGACATCGAGGATTCTCGCTGCAATCCACAGCTTGTAGAATGTGTATAGTCCCTCGCATTTGCACACCATCATACGAATATATTCGTCACGCTCCTCAACCGATCGGAAGGCTCTTGTCCGAACATTCTCCGATTGAGAAATCTTCAGTGTTGTTGATGGCAAAAGTATACCTTCCTGATCGTGCTCAGTCATGTTGGGGTATCTCTTGAAGTCATTGTGGTAAGGGCAGCCCGGTCTCCCCTCGAGTTGGGCATTCATCGTTCTCTCCTCACCACCCTCGAACATCCCCCACATCTTGGACATCTGGAGTGCGATAAACCCTGCCATGTACTGAGCCTCACGCGGCTCGTCAAGGCAGATCGCCATCCGCTGGGAGTTTATGATATCCCGTGACGTCAGATCAGTGTCGCGGTAGTACCAACCGCTGTCATCCTCTTCTGACGCATATCCGGATGTATATCCTTGCGTGTCCATGTCGTCTTCTTCTCCCGGAACTTCCTCCGCTTCGTCATCATCCTCCTGTGCCGCCGCATCGTGGTTGGCTTCTTCCTGTGCGCGCTTGGCATCTCCCGAGACGTTGGGGTTTTGGTTGTCCTCCTCATCGTCGGAGTTGACGTGGATGTAGTACCTCCCGGTGGAGATCAGTTGCGCCTCACATTCCAGGCATAAGCAGAAGCAGGTGGGGATCGCGGTCGCACACGATGGACATATCCGGCATCTCAGTCCTTCCCATGTCTCATCATTCAGGATGACGACTTTGCTGATTTCGTCCC